CACTTAGACCTTTGTCTTGATTATAAACGAAGCACAGAGCTAAAGTATAATGCAGTGAGACATCTGAAATGATAATTATTGACATTTTAATTCTGTATATGCACCGTTGTAATGCTGCACGTGTAGCGATCTATGGATCATGGCTGTGCAGGACCATGAGGAGTGGCAATGGTGTGGAGATATATTGATCCAGCAGTGGAAAGAAAATGACAGGTTATCATTAGACAGGTCAATTTTCCCTGTTCCTTCGGTGATGGTAGGGTGCCTGAGAAAAGACTTATCCTAGCCAGTTCAAAGTGCCAGTTGATCTCACAGTACTCAAAATAAACTAACTGCCTGTTAGTAACTCTCACCAACAAATCCATATCGTTAAACTAACTCACCCTGATTGCATTCAATTGCACTCAGCTTCTGTTGTTAAACAAGCAGTTGCAGATCAAGCAATGGAGGTGATAATTATATTTTCTAAGCTAATTGTTAAATTAACTTTCACAATTATCGCTAAAGACCATCAGAGTTGACAGAGGTGGTAAAGTGAAAAAGAGAACATGGCAAACATTGGATGTTGGGTGTCAACGGTGCAACAATTTTAAATCTCGTGAAAGGAAGTTGTAACCTGTAATGGCTTATTGACCTCAGCGATCTCTTGGACATGAATATACTTCAGTGAACTTAAGTGAAACGAAATAAAAAACTGTTTTGTCTGTTACCGAATGGTAAGGAAGATTTTAGATCATTTAGATTATTTGGCTGATATACATTTTCACGTGATAAGCCACTTCGTCGCTTCTGAAAAAAAAACTCATAGGTCAGTAGGCTTTACCTGGTAAAATGCTCTCCGATTTACCCGATCTTACATTTACATGCAAATTTAATCACGAGCCCCGCCCACGTCGCTTATGACCCTTGGGCTACACCCATCTCAAACCTCTATAACATACTGCCTCAGCAGCTCTCCCGCTATTTTTTTCACCTGATGACGATTGCTTGTGTTGCGATCTAAACGTCGTGATATATATTTTTTTTCTATCTACGTGGCTTTACCGAAAGACACAAAGAATATGAATTCCTGCAGTCATGAAAGCTTTAAGTCAAGATTTAACCGCCTCTACGGAGAGGGTTTCCACACAACTATTAGATCTTTTAACAAACTTCGAGACAAGAAGGCTCATCTGATCGAGTCGCTCACTTTTCTGAAGAGATGCCGCGACACTAAGGTAATACCGATCGCCTTTACACTGACATCTGCTGCTGTCTCCTAATGCTAAACAGATCTTGTGCAGGGCCAGCCTAGCCCTGATCGCAGGGAGAATAATATAATACTCTCTTGCAATCATGCTTACCATTGACGGAAAAAATGTCTACATCTGATTGGGAACATGTAGAAAACATGACAGCCTCTTCAGCTGCCTCAATGTCAGCTAAATGCAAAGATAACCTGATTTCCAAGTTCAACCTCCTGTCGAAGAAGCCAGATCCACACATTAAAAAGTTAGACGGTGACAAGATTGTTATCAATCAGAGTAACAGCCCAATTTCCGACAGCCTAAAATCGGTTCTAGCTAAAGGGTTGGATTTCGCAGTCACCCCTAAACACATCCCAGTTGATGATATCATTGCCCAGGTCAACATAGCCCTTAAGGGTTTGGGACACATCCCTGCAGACGTGGCAAGATCGTAAATCGCTGTAATCCTCAAAAATGACACCTAATAGCAACATCAGTAAGGATGAGCGCTTTGAGCTTTCTCAACTAAAAAATAGAGATGACATAGTCATCCTCTCAGCTGACAAGGGCTGCTAGACTACCCAGATTTTATGGCTTACCAAAAATCCATAAAGAAGGTACACCACTCCGTCCTATTGTCTCCACCATTGACTCACCCACCTACAAACTTGCTCAATTTCTGTCTGAGACCTTACAACCATTCACTGGCAAGACCACCTCAGTTGTACTTAACTCAGCTCACTTGGTATCGTTAATTAAGGGCATTACACTATCTCCAGGTGATTTGCTTGTCAGTTTCGATGTAGTATCTTTGTTTACCAAAGTTCCTGTGCCTGACACCATTGCAATCATTGAAGTTTTGGTCCAACAAGGACTGAATGATGATGTACCGGCCCTGGTAAGACACTGCCTCACCAACTATTACTTCACCTGGAATGGAACATTCTACAAGCAAGTTTAAGGAAACCCAATGGGTTCTCCCTTATCTCCAGTTAAGGCCAATGTTTCATGGGAAATTTTGAGACAGATGACATCCAGGCATCCACCCTATGTCCTTACATGTGGAAGAGGTACATAGATGACACGTTCGTCATCTGGCCATATGGTCTGGCCAGCTCTGGGCCAATTATTCAACCACATCAATTCCATACACCCAGCCATCAAATTCACCATGGAGGTGGAAAAGGATGACAAGTTACCATTATTGGATGTTTTAATCGAAAATAGACCATATGGCTCAATGGGACACTGTCTACAGGAAAGCCACCCATACGGATGCCTACCTAAAACCTGACTCTCACCACCATCCATCCCAGAAGAATTCCCTCATCAAAACTCTACACCATAGAGCTCGATGTATTTCCGACCATCACCACCTAGCCAGTGAACTGGAACATGTACACCAAGCCCTCAAGATGAATGGATATTCAGACTACACAACCCGTAAAGCTATCACCCCAACCGTTGGGAAAGAACCATCTGAGGGACCCAATCAAAACCATAACCTTGGCAAACATAGCAGGGGTCACGAAAAAGATTTCCAAAATCATGAGCAAACACAAGATCCAGGTTCGATTCAACACAGTACATACCATTTTTAAATCCTTTATATTAAGTTCGCATGCTTGCTTGCTTGCTTGCGTGCTTGCTTGCTTGCGTGCTTGCTTGCGTGCTTGCTTACGACCGTGCAAATCTTTCGGTGGTTTTTTAACCCACTTCCCGTGATCCAATCGAGCTGACATTTTCAACACAGACTCGTTGTGCCAGACAATTAATGTTCGTGAAAAAAAATTCCCAAAATTTTACACTTTTTAGGCAAAAAATTTTTATTTTACATATATTCAAATAGAACTCATTCATCGCTTTGGCTGAACGTCACAGTATAAGAGCCCAGAGCGTAACCCCTCCACAGGCCGTGGCGGAGTAGCGCAGTTGGTAGCGCCCTTGCTTCCCATGCCAAAGGTCGCGGGATCGATCCCCGCGTCCTCCACAGGCGAATATATTTTTAAATCCTTTATATTAAGTTCGCTGCCATGCATATAAAGGATTTATAGTGAAAAACTTTGTTTTTACGGGTTATACTTATTTTATCCCATCTGTGAAGGATGTGAGCCCTGACATGCAATACCCCGGCGTCTATAAATTAAGCTGTGTCTGCGGCAGTAGTTACATTGGGGAAACTAAGATACATGTCTTGGACCATGTTCGTGAACATGAGGCAGATCTGAAACATGGTAGGACCAATACCTCAGCCGTGGCTGATTATTGTTGTAATGCTGGGGGCAAACATGAAACAAAAAAATCCCAAGACGAAGGTACTCTGCAAATCCACTGGCTATCAGCAAAGATTCGTTCATGAAGCCATCCAGATATATAAACACAGACACAATTTCAACCGAGAAGATGGGTACAAACTGATCAATCATTGGAAGGACGTTATTAACCAGTTTAAGTAATAACCGGCTGTGATGTTTCCATCTACCTACCGATGTTAGTAGTTATTTTCGACTCTCTGGTGTTACATTAACAGGTTAAATGTCTTAACATTAACAGGTTAAATGTCTAACTAACACAGCCACCATTGCTCGTTTTCCTCGATGTGGCAGTGGCTCTACGATCTTACATTGACATGCAAATCTCTCACAATAAAATGGCCACCTCTGCAGCTTCGTCGTCGTGGAGGTGGCTCTCCGATTTACCCGATCTTACATTTACATGCAAATTTAATCGCGAGCCCCGTCCTATTCGCTTATGACCCTTGGGCTACACCCATCTCAAACCTTAAAACATCCTGCCTCAGCAGCTCTCCCGATATTTTTTCACCTGATGACGATTTCTTGTGTTGCGATTAAAATGTCGCGATATTTTTTATTATTTTTCTATCTACGTGGCTTTACTGAAAGACCCAAAGAATATGAATTTCTGCAGTCACGAAAGCTTTAAGTCAAGATTAAAATAAATATAGTTTAGTCTCATTTGTATGTTTTTTGTGACTTGTTTACCTTTCCAATTGTTTTCACTCCTATCGTATTTTTGTATTGCTTGTTATTGTAACATTCTGACCCATCCCTACTGAACGTTTGTGAAAAAAAGCTTTAAAGCTCATCAGATTCCTCCAAGATAAATAAATATTTTGATTCTGAAATGAACTATTTCCAAGTGATAAAAAGGTTTGGAAATGTGATTCTTCAATGCACAATGAATGTATCAGCAATCAATGACAATATGGGAGGATCACAACTGTAGTGTTGGGGACACAGCCTGAGGACAGATCCCAAGGCGTGGAATGGCAACGGAGAGTTCTTCAGACAGACGTCCAACGCAAGAAACCAAGAGGCGGAACGAAGATGAGGTGGACAGGGAATGGCGAGAGTTGATCTAGGGCAGGAGGATGCCGAAAATAGTGCAACGCGAAAAATTAGAGGGACTGACCCCGTTTAAACAACAACAAGAAGACTGGATAAGACAGGCGCTGTCTTCTATTGCAAAAACAAGAACGATAATTTCAGTGTCCAGATCAACTTTCAGTGTCCAGGTCAAAAGAAATAGTGCCAGATATATGTTTTTTCCCCACACATTTAGCTTTGTTTTTCCTCCCTCCTTCAAAATATCAGCACAAAAGCCATTTACGGCGGCGTTGAGGTAGGTTCAACGTCTCTGCGATGATTGACCGGCTCTCTGACACTGCTCACAGCAGCACTGTCACGGCCCCGAGCCACCCAGCCGCCTGTCTGCCCATGGTGTAACAAAGCATCATGGCGTTCCGCGTCTCACCGGCGCGTGCCTTTTCTTCTTTTTCTTGCCACCACTGAGCTTCTTCTTGCTGACGAAGAACGTGAGCATGGCGAACTCGATCATGGCGGCAAAGACGAAGAAGAAGCAGACGGTGACGAAGAGGTCCATGGCTGTTGCATAGGAAACCTTGGGCAGCGACTTGCGGGAGATGGTGCTCAGAGTGGTCATGGTCAGCACCGTCGTGATCCCTGCGATGGGAGAAGCAAAGCATGGCAAGGCAGGGCAGGCGACGCTTCACTCAGTGGAAATCAAACCGTCGCCTTAAAAGCCCAACGAGCGATGGGGTCGTGGCCCATCGCTTAAGGTGTACTGAGCGAAAACGAAACCATTTTATTTTTATTTTACGAGGTAAGGCCCATTGAGCTATATAGCTCTTTTTCAGAAATGACCTGGCCACAAATGATCGCTCAATGCAGTGGGCTTATCGCGTGGAAATGCATAGCAGCCCAATACTCTGAAAGCAGGTATCTAAATGTGCAGGGGAAAACTGGAGGACCCGGAGAAAAATCCAAGCGACAATGGGAAGAAGATGAAAAGCCAAAATATACAGGGATCAGGGTCGGGATCGAACCCACGACCTCCTTTATACCTCGCGAGGTAGTTAACATCTCGCCACCGCGGCGTCCCTGACTGAGCCAGTGTTACACATTCCACAGTCCAATATTTAAGATCAGTGTTTTCACTGCTTTATGGCTGTAGCTGACTTCACACACTGTGGTAATTATTTAACCATCTCTGGGGAGATGATGGCCCGATTTAAACTCGTGGTATTCTGATGGCTATGACCAAGGCAGGATGCGTGGTTCACATTGGTTGTTCGATTAAACCAGCTGAGTACAGCTCCAGTACCAAAATATAAACATGCAGTGCACTCATATAGTTTACATTCTGTAGGCACAAAGCCCATTATTTGTAAAAAAAGAACAAAACCAAATTGTGAATTTCACATCAAAGTTGAGTGTTTTTTGTTTGATCTACAGTATCAGATTACTCTTGCAGGGCAGAAACAAATATTAGAACTGAACATTAGGAAAAGGCTTCTGATGTATTGCAATCAGCTTGGCCAAATTGTCAATTATTTGTTTGCAGTCATTGTTGAGCAATATTAAGAACATCAAACGAAGCTGTGCATGGGAATATCTGGTCTTCTTCGTATGGCTGATATTTGATGCACAGCAACAACGATAATTTTAGACTGAGGTGGTTGAGCCAGATGCTTGTATCAGGAGTAGTTGGAGTGTATCGCCGCTGTGACAATGCCCCCTTGGTATTTGCGAATTGGGCATTGAATCATTACACGTTCCAGGGTCTGTTCTGGGTGACCAGTCACACACCGGAGAGTGCATCAAGCATCCAGATCTGCCTTGGTTCATACGGTTTAGGATTGTGGCCCATGAGCATTGTGGAAGATCAAAGCTAGGGACCTCAATATCTGGTGGGAACCTGGGAGTTGAACTGGGATGAACGCAGTGTTGGGAGCTTCAGGACTTGTGACAATGTCACAGCATTATCCCAATAAGCCAGAGTAATTTAACAAAAAAAATAATCTTCATGATGAAGAAAATACGTTACACTGAAGCAGACCAGCAGCAACGAAATAAATGTTGAATAAATGTTCCTGAACATGGCCTCGACGCACTGTCATACACAGTTTGCATGACAATTACATGTGTTGCAATCGCTCCCACTCAGAGTTGGACGAAGCCAGGCATTGCAAGCGTCTGGAGCACACGCCAAATTGATGTAAAACTGTTAAAAAAATATGTAACAGGGCAGTGTCTTAGACAGTGCGATTGAAGCATGTGCATCGGTTGCCTGCACCAACAACTTACTGAGATCGCTTACAACATTCAGGTAACACGTTGTGATATTCATGAACCGCCTACAACATCATTCTGAAAGATATATGTGTTTTTAATGTGTCTAAATCGCACAAATTTCCACCAGTATTTCAGCAAAAAGCCATTTTCTGGCAATAGGTAACACTGAGAGGCACCAAGGCACATATTATTTTTAAATTAAACACAACGTGGATTGCTTCACCTTTAACCTAAGCAGCATTCTCACACAGAGCCTATATTAGAGTTACCATGAGGAACAGTAATATAACAGGGAATTTGATTTAACACGTGTTATTTTTTAGTATTCAATCATCTTTAACATTTGATGTCTGACATCACTTTTTTTTCTTAAAACGAATATTAATACGGAAAAATATCAATACGTGACGTAAATCATTATAACGTGCCAATTGTAATGTTTCAGATTCGGCATCAAATTCGTATTGCGTTGCCTGAAAAAATAAGGCATTTAAAATAAATGCCATTCTCAGAATCATGCAATGTGTTTCTTGATGTAATTTTGAGAGATACAACATCTGCTTTGGAAAATATATATATGTATGCACTATATGTATAGTATATTTTGTGAGACACTTGGAAAGAGACAAATAGTACAAAAAAACTCAAAATTATATAGAACAGTTGTTATTAAGGCACGAGAAGACTGATCATTGGTTGAATATATGTCAATGCGCAATTATTGTTAAGTTGCAATCATTTCACGACTCATCACTTGCTCAGCTTACTTGCAGTGTATTTTGTGAGACACATGGACAGGGACCAATAAAAAGAACAAAAGCTGAAAATTACACAAATAAGCATGAAGAAATGTGTTCTCAGATTTGACACTGAGACACAATGAGAGGAGTTCATGCATTAGAGAACAGATCCAAACCAGCGACATCGTATGAACTGTTTTAACATTGTGGTTAGGCAGGATACATTCCCAGAAGAGAGATGGCCATTCTTAAACTATTAAACTGAAGTTTTTTGTTTTATTTTACCAGGTAAGGCCCACTGAGCTATATTGCTCGTTTTCAGAAGTGACCTGGCCACAAATTATAGCCGGCTAATCATGTAGATATCTGTAGAAGCCAAATACTTTAAACGCATGTTTTTAAATGTGAAGGAAAAAATCCACGTGACCATGGGGTGAAAATGCTAATTCCAAATATACAGACATCAAGGTTGGGATCGAACCCATACCCTCCTCTATTCCAGGCGAGGTAGTAAACATCTCGCCACCGCAGCAGGAAGCTTTCATACAGAAGTGGATAAGGCATGGCTGATTATGTTGAAAACATATCAACCAGTTTCCACGATAAAGCACTAATATCCCCAGCAGGGTTGCTCCTCACGGGAACCATATATAATCTATTATACGCATTTCACTGTGGGCATAGTGACATTAAACTTTGGCTTGGCTCAAATACATGAATTAGTTATGCTGGCCTTTATGGTCCTGACATGCATAGCAAATAGTATCACATTCTGCTTTAAGGAGGGAAAGTTACATGCAGGTTGGACACGTGGACAGCCACAGCTCATTACGGAATAGTTTTTCGAGAAGGCAACTGGGTTCACAAAGGCTTAAGGTCCGTTCTCATGAACGTTAACCAGTTATTCAATTTATATTTACATGTCATTCGTTGCATTAGTTAAGAGAGGGGAAAAAATACTGCTGGTGATTTGCCATCCGTAAAGTTTGCTCAACAGGTCGACATCAATTCTTGGCTGCATACACAAACACATACATATATGCATTCATCAAGAGAACAGATTTTTTTATTACACGAGTCTGAAATAATGCATCAGGGGTTTGTTATGCGATGGAGGTAGAGTGCGGTGAATTTTGCATGCAGCGTCTGCATTGTGAATTCAGCACCCGGGCTTTTTTTCCCTTCCTCCCTCTCCTCAGCCCTTTGGCTGAACGAGCTCCACATGAGTCACGCTCATCCAGAATGGAATTCAAAACCTTTCAATCATAAGGTACAGTACGTGCCCTGCCACCGACCCCCTCACTGGGTGCCTGTTGCAATGTTAATCACGGCAATATTGAAAGTTGCTTTAAGCAACGTTTACGTAGTTGTCGTGCTTTAATGTTGTTCAACAGCATTAGCCTGTTTTGAGTTCATTTGAAATCATAATCTTTTTTTCATTAAATCCAATATAAAAAACTAAAGACAATGAAATCATACATCAGCTGCAAAAAGCGTATTTCACAAACGTGGGTCCCAAGTAAGTATGCAATTGTACTGTGTACACTTTACTATATCCTATGCATATGAGAAATAAACTTGGATTGATTGACTCTCATTACCCGACGTCATCTCGTCTGGTTAGGCACCTTGGAATCGGGAGGATGTATCGTCGCCTTTGCATTCTACACGCAGGCAACTCACTCTAAGAACCCTAAAAAATATCTCCACTTAATGCATTTATGTAACGTACTTTATATATCGAGCTATCGATCTGGGAGCCTTTGTCGGTAAAGCGAGCGCCTTGCGATCGCGAGGGTTGCGAGTCGAAATTGTCTTTGGGTTCTTGTGTCCACCCATTGGTTGACTAAACGAGTACTCTTCTGTAGGGAAGCCATCAGTGGCTGTCTTATAGAGAGAGGTTCTCATCCCTGGCTCAGGCTATAAACAGGAGATGAGCAATGTCTTGCTTCTCGTTTGAAATCACTTTGACTATCTAATTTGTTAAAGAAAATTGTTCAAGCCATTACTATGGAGTACTTATTTTTACTTTCTTTTAATCATTCTATTTAAACCTACTTCCTAATCTGCCAATGTTTTAACGTAATACCTCAAATATTAAACCAAAACAGCTGCGGTTATAATTGACAAATAATTTCGAGTGATGCTATATTTGGTGAGAACAAGGCCAAAAGTAATAGGGTCTCTCCATGCTCATACAGAAGCCGTGGATTCTCGTTCGTCTCTGTTGGTAACCAATAAATAAATCCCACATTTATATGGTCGAGGCCAAGCCTAGCTCCGGGAACAACTAATGTTGATTCGGCACAGAGAAAAACATTTATTGAGCTATAAAGCATGATAGCCTGAGCCAACTGAAACATTAATTTGCAATTTCCAAAAGTGGATTGAATACATGCTTTGTTCACATTGTTGCCTGGCAAGAAAATAACAGGCGGTTGTGAAAGGAATGAAGGTCATCAATACAAGTATCGCTATGAGTGGGGGAAGGATGGGCGTGTTTGGAGAATAATGCTCGTGCTGTTGAGGACCAAGGTTAAAATGCGAGGAACTAAATGAGAGAGAAAATCGTATTGTGATGAGTTAGTGCTTAATTGTCACTAATGAATGGCAAAACACAATTACTCA